AACAGAACGCCTTTCTTATTCATTTGAGTTGTACAGTTTTTTAATTATTAGTTATAGATGAATATAAAATCAGTGTCTTCCCTCAATAAAAAAGTGTATACAACAAACAATAGACAGTTTGTACATCTGGAGGAAACGTCTTAAAGAAAACTCTTGAACAGAAGTACGATACAAGGTTTTACTCACCATCCAGCTGCTGCTGTACAGGGACTAAACAGACTGTGAGGAAACGTTTCCAAGTCTCTTTCTATATAAATATACAGTATGTGTTACTTCCTCTGAGTGTGTGTGTGTGTGTGTGTGTGTGTGTGTGTGTGTGTGTGTCACTTTTACAACATGCTGGACCTCTGGAACATCTTGATATGACTCTTGGATAAGTCTTTATTCAGAATACTTTACATCCATCCGTTGGTGAGTAAAGGTGTGTATTTAAAATGAATCCTTTACAATACCATAAACCCAGATAAGGAGGATTTAACACAACCTCATGAGAGATCAAAGTCAGACTCCTTTCAAACCTGTTTTCTGTTTCTATGTCATAAATATAAAAGGTGCAGTGCGACTACACCAGGGCCTGTGGGGTAGGAGGGCCCGTGAAGAAACCCGGACCCTTCTAGACTAGGTCGCTATCTGCTTCCTGGTTTTTGACTCTATTACAAAAAACCTGATTCATTCTGTCAAATGTCTCATTAGAACGTTATTTGATTATTTTGACAGACATTTGTCATCTGTCAAAGTTTGAATTTTTCCAGCAAGGCTCTGAATATTCAAATGTATAACATGTCACTTCCTGTAGTCGCGAGGGAACAAGTGGAAACCACGCTCTGTCAAACCAGGACACTTCCTCTCCCTGTGGGAGGCACCACGACGATGACAAAGTTGTTTCACTACTTCCCTTACAAATACAGTAAAAAGTACAGCCTCCTTTGAGCCTGGAGGTTCTTGCCAAATGTTCTCCATTAATGACCCTAGATGAATTTGATGGCTGCAGATATTAAATAACAGTTTGCTGCCATTCTGTGGTGCAGTCAAAAAGCATCAGTCTGCTAAACTTCACTCTGCATCCTGTTTGATTATTCAGCTGAAACATTAAAGCACATTATACCACTCAGTGGTAAAACACATGTTGCTGTTACGCCTCCTCTCCATAGACAACATGCATTCAGAGGTGCTGCTTGTCAAGAAGAAGCAAGGCAGGCGACTGCTTGGGGGCCCCCAGACCAGTAAGGGGCCCATGAGGGCTCACAAACTTTAAACCGAAGCAATGTGCAAAATTTTGCAATGACAGTAGGAAACCTCCCTAAAGGGGCCCCACCTGACAGCACTCCCTCTAGTTGCCCTGCTAAGCGTTGCATGCATGATTTCTGTGAAAAGCAAAGTTTGTCAATGACAGTCAACAATGAAAAATGAAGAGGAATTATCCGTTTATAGGAGAGAGGAAAAAAACAGGAAGAGGAGTAAGCGTCGGGGCACAGGCGGACACAAGATGTTTTCTCATAGTCCACTGCACAGCTCCTACATTACATCTTTTGTACATTTTGTGTTTTTAATTTTTTATATTTTACATTTTTAAATTCTATTTTATATATTGTAATATCTTCTTATACTGTATTATTTAAGTTGTTGCTAGTTCTGCTTTATTTCCTTGTTAATTGTTTAGCACCAATACACCAAGTCAAATTCCTTGTATGTGTAAATGTACTTGGCAATAAACCCCGATTCTGATTCTGATGATGGTGATGAATGTTGGTTCGAGGGCCACTTGAATAGATTTTTGCCTAGGGCCCTGACCGACTCTAAAATCACCACTGCATGCATTTGTTGACCAGCAAGAAATGCTCTTAAAACTTAAATAAAGGTTTATTCAATCAAAACATGCTACTTGTTTCCCTACATTTCAAATTTATTTCAAATATTTTTACAGTCTATGTTCAAATGCAGCAAGAAGTGGACTGACAAGGTCCAGTGTTTTTCTCTAGTCCGGTGTTTTGTTACCGTTTTCTTTTAGTCTCTTAGCCTTAGCATCGAATCAAGCAATACTGAGACGAGCAAACGGGCTTCTTTTTTCTTTGAAGGCTGCTGTGTGAACTAGTGCAGAAGAACTAGGGTAACAATCTGAGCCCGTCAGTGAAAACAAGAACTCGTCAAGGACATTCTTTGACCGGGATCTTTTGTCTGCGGGGGGTTTGGGGTTGCAGCCGTTGGAGCCCTTTTCAGCTGCAGTTTCAGAAATCAGCTGCAGCGATTCAAAAATGGTTTGTCCATAATTTATACCTTTCAGCAGCTGCAACCTATTCAGACTTTTTATTTTGCTGAAGTCATTAAGGTCAAAGGTCCTGCTCAGATTAGGAACATCCCTTAAGACCTGTGAGCAGCATTTAAACGCTGATAAAAACAGAGACAAAAGCTTCACAAAAACACTTGCTTAGAAATATCACCTCACAGTTTGTAAGAGATAAGAAATGAATTCACTCCACATATTCCAGATGTGCAGGTAGACCCAGATGGTTTCTGCCCCGTTGATATCTCCCTGTTTTGTCGACTGCCCTCTAATGCCACCATGAGGTTAATGCAGGAAACACAAATATGCTTTTGTTTTTGTTTCATCAGAAACACTGCACCAGCTCCACATATTAAAAGATTCATTTTGTTCATAAAAAGTCATCTGTCAGTCAGTTTCATCAGGCCAAAACGAAAGTCACATTATCATCTGTCACTGTAATTTCTATCCTCATCCAAGGATGGATAATTAGACCCACTTTCTTCAGTATGAGCTGCACACATCATTTCATAATGAGTTTTTCATATTTGAAGCAAACATACAAAAATACAATGTATAAAGAATGATATGTTCCAGGAGAATAGCTCTATGTCCACCAGACTGCTTAACTAGAATGACAAGGGCAATTAAACTGCAGAGAACATTTCAGTATCTGTGGGATTTAATTTGACTCCATACCTTTAACATTTTTAATTCTTCAAGAGAACATTTCACACCGGATGTGGAAAAGGAAAGTCATCATTTCTAGTCTTCTGATTACTCAAACACTTTCACACCTCCACACTGATGGTAGAGGCTGCTCTGTAAAGAGTCCATCAGTATTAACCATACACACTCACACACTGATGGTAGAGGCTGCTGAGTAAAGAGTCCATCAGTATCAACTCATCCATTCATACACATTTGTACGCTGATGAAGCCGCGGGAGCAGGTAGAGTCACTGCCTCTCCACTGGAAGGTAATGGGTTCAATCCCCAATTGGGCAACATGTCCAATGTGTACTTGGGCAAGACATTTAACCCCAAATTGCTCCCACTGCTTCAGTGGTGGTGTATGAATGGGATTAGTTACTTCTGATGGATGACACTACATAGCAACCACTACCATCAGGGTGTGAATGTGTAGGTGTGACCTGCAGTGTGAAAGTCGCTTTGAGTAGTCAG